CTCTGTAACCTGCTTACTCTCTTCTTCCTCCTCTGCTTCCTCACCCTCTTCTTCTTCCTCCTCCTCTGTAACCTCCTTACTCTCTTCTTCTTCCCCTGCTACCTCTTCTTCCTCCTCTTTATTCTCCTCTTCCTCACCCTCTTCTTCTTCCTCCTCTGTATCCTCCTTCTTATCCTCTTCTTCCTCATCCTCATCTTCATCCTCTGTAGCCTCCTTTTGGTCCTCTTCTTCTACCTCCTCATCCTCTTCTTCATCCTCTGTAACCTCCCTTTTATCCTCATCTTCGTCCCCCTCATCCTCTTCTTCCTCCTCTGTAACCTCCTTCTCATCTTCTTCTTTTTCTACCTCCTCATCCTCCTCTTCCTCCTCCGCAGTCTCGTCCTCTGCTTTCCCCTCATCTGAGGACGCTTCCTCCTCACCCTCCTCCTCCTCCTCCTCCTCCTCATTTTCTTTGTCGCTCTTTTCATCCTGTTCACCCTCGTCTTCTTCGGCCTCACTGTCATCTTCCTCCTTCTCATTTTCAACACTCTCTTCATCCTGTTTGTCCTCTTCCTCCCCTTCACTCTCTTCATCTTCCTCCGAGTGTTTTTCCTCATCCTCGCTTTCGGAGGAATCTTTTTGTTCCTCAGTTTCACCCTCTTCCTCTGCGTCAACCTCATTTTCTTCTTCTTCTTCATTGTCGTCTTCATCAGAGTCATTTCCCTCTCCATCCTCCTCCTCCTCTGACTCTTTGATCTTGCTGCTCCCAGACTCTTCCCCACTTTCATCTTCTTCATCCTCACTCACCTCACTTTCTTCCTCTTCCTCTTTATTCTCTCCTTCACTGGCCCCTTCACTTCCCTCCTCCTCCTCCTCTGCTGCCTCACTTACCTCAGACTCACTCCCTCCTCCACCCTCTTCCTCTATACTTGCTTCCTCCTCCTCTTCAGCATCTATGACATCGCTCTTCTTGCTTCCTTCATCCTCTTCCTCACTGCTTGAGCCAGTTTCCTCCTCACCATCTTCCTCTGCAGTTTCATTATCTTGCTCTTCCTCACCCTCTCCAGAAACACTCATTTCCTCCTCGCTGCTTTCACCCCCCTCTTCCTCTTCTTCTTTGTCCTCTACATCACTTCCACTCTCCCCCTCTTCATCTTCCTTCTTTTCCTCATCTTCAGTATCTGTTTCTTCTCCCTCATGATCCCTGTTGGGTTTCTCATCTTCTTCATGTTCTTGCTGGGAAGTTTCCACGTCTGTGCCATTGTTCTTCGCCTCTTCACTTTTCACCTCCGCCAGTTGTGACTGAGTGGTGTCGTCACTTTCCTCGTCTTCAGTGACATCCTTGTTGACCTGAACATCTGTCTTGGTGCTGTCTTCTGGTGGATTTGACGTCTCCTGTGACAACGTCGAGGAAAAAGAAGGTTGCATAACCGCACTCTGCTTTGTGAATTGCCTTCCTCGACCAGGTGCTTTAAATGGTGTAGAAGAAATGGTGTCACTGTCGGACTGGAAACTACCTACGCTTGTCACTGCCTCACCGAGGACCCCCATAGCAGCACCTGCTATCCCAGCAACAGGAAGAAGAGCAGCTGCCGTGCCGAGGATTTCCCCCAGCCTTGGCTTTCCTTCAGTCAGACTCGGAGGATCCTCTCTGGGTGTTCCAGGAACAAGCAGATCCTTATCAACAGGTGCCGGGCCTTGTGGGGATTTGGCACCAGCGACTGAAACCGTCTCTGTTCTCTGAGTGCTTTGTGAGGAAATGGGGTTGTAGAGCGCTTCAATAGGTGTATCCTGCTGTGATAACAGCAGGCTGGAAGCTTCAGTCTGCTCACTGTTTGGCTTGGCGCTCGTGTTATCCTGAGCTTCTTCTTTAACTCTGATATGATCTCCTCCCTCTCCAGCTGGTTTTGTTTTTGCCTTCTTTTTATCCTTTGCTTTAGTGCCGTGACCTTCAGGTATCTTCTCCTTATCTGCAGTTCTACTTTTGGTTTTTTGAGCTGCTTTCACTTCTTTTTCCACAACTTTCCCTTTGCCTTTACTTTTAGCTGGAGTACTTTCTGCCCTTTTACTTTGGTTTTTGACTGGTGTGGATTTGACCTCTTTAACTCTCACAGGTGTGGATTTCACACTTGGTGATTTCTTAGTGATGTCTTGAAGTGTGTAGACAGGTGTGGTTTCCTTTTTCACTGGTGGTGATTTTATATTCACTGCTATACTTTGACCTTTCCCTGGTGAAGATTTAACCTTATGTGAATGTTTTGTTGGAGTTGATTTGACTTGCTGTGTCTCCTCTTCAACAGGTTTGACATCATTGGTTTCACTCTGAGTTTCTGCATCTTTTTCTACGGATGACAAACTTCCACTTTGGACAGATATGCAGGTTGCTTCACTTCCTGTAGTGACCATAATAACAGGAGATGTCCTCTCTAAAGAGGGTGATTTATTTCCCTCCTTTTTTGGTGTCAAGTTTTTCTTGAAATTACTGGCTTTCATATCCTTTTGATTTATATTATTTTCTCTCACATTTCTATTTCTCCTCTCATTTCTCTTCACTTCAGTCAGCCTCTGCTGTGCTTCAGTCAGAGTCTTCCGCACAGACTGTGGAGTTTTGGGGCTCGATGCTGATAGTTTTGGTGATTTATTTTGAACTTGCCCGTCTTCATGAGTCTTGATTTTATTGGGCTGCTTGGTGATGTTCTCTTTGCCTTTGGATGTGACTTTTTTGGGTGTGTTTTTCAGACTCTGTGAGCCCTTGAGTGCAGTCACTTCTTTCTTTAAAGAGCCTTTCAGGAGCTCTGTGGGTGAGGCCTTGAAGGAATTATGTTCTGCCCTCTCATTGAACTGCAACAGCTCTGCCTCTTTAGTAGTTCTTCTCAGAGCTCGGCCTTTTTTCTTTGCCTGTAACAAATCACAGAGAAAACAGGGATTTAGTCAGATGTAAAAATAAAACTGACAGGAAAGGTCGTATGCCTGATAATAACGTGTTATTAAAAAAAAAGTGAAGTTGTACCAGCAACAGACTTGCAATCAACGTGACAGCATGTGAAGTTGCGGCATTTGATGTTTTGTGTTTTACTGCCAGAAACATGTCAGCTCTAGTTAAAGGAAGCAGTGTCTTGTTCAGTAACACACTGCCATAACACTCAAAACAGAACAGTTTGTTTAGAGACATTTCAGTAGCTTTTGTAGGCCTAGATGTTAATCTTTAACTATAAATATTATTATGTTGAAAACAATACATGGGAAGAAAATATATTGCCAGTTTAAAGTATATTTTGCCTGTCAGAAACAAATAGTTTTTTAGTACATTTTTGTCCAGTGTGATTTGAAACGTACATAGAAAAATGACTGGGTTTTCTTTGCAGCATGTGACTGGTGAACACACATATCACAGAATGACTGATCCGTCATCAACCAATCTGTTGTCAGGTTAAATACAGATGTGGGTGGGAGGTATAGGAAACCATGGTGACGCCTGAGAGAAGATGAGAGGAATCCTTATTTTCCCATCTGCACTAGAGATAAACAGGTGGCGGTTAATTGGGGGTCAGTGGGGCGTCAGGTGAAAACAGACATTTAATCACCTTCACACAGCAGACCTTTGAATGCAAGTTCAATAACTGTGATGCCCATACATGAGCAGTAATGGCTCATTTAGTTAGTAATAATATCCAAGTGCTTGTATTATGCTTGAGAATTTCATTTTTATGCAACTATGTACTTCTATTCCACTACATTTCATTGTGAAATATTTGACCTCACTGCATTTTTTTTGACACCTAAAATTACGATTTTATTTTAAAAAATGAAGTTTGTATGATATGATGCATTGTCAGTGCACAAAATCTGCTTATTGAGTCATTCCAGTACTTAAAGTGGAACACCACCTCAATTAAGAATTTCCAAAATGCTATTTTCATGGCCCAGAAAATGTCAATCACTATTTGTGAACATGAGCTACTCCCTCAAAGCCAGAGACCAAAGAAGTAAGTCTCAAACTTGTGATGTCATCAAGTATAAAGTCTGGAGCTGCTCCATAGACAATGAATGGAGGCTTTATTCCATTGTAGTGTTCTCAGTTTTGAAACAGAAAATGTTGCCACATACTCAGAGCATTTCTCTGGGTGCTCTCAGTGTCATCTAGAACATCTAGAAGGCACAGATTTGAGGTTTAGCTCTCTAGTTTTTGGATTTGGTAGAGTTGTTTATGTTCATGTGATGGCTTAGGGTGCTCTGTTGTGTGCTGGTGTTATGTGTAATACATGAGTGGCTGATGTGCAATGCTGTCATATGTAGTATGTGTTTTTATGTTTTTTTTTTTTAATGGTGTATGCTTTTCATTTCTTCTGGTCTATTATTGCAAGACAGCAACACTTGTTCAGCTCCTGAGTCGTATCGTATCGTACCGTACCGTATCATATCGTATACTAATATTTTTGGACCAACTTAGACCATATAAATAACATGTTTAAATTTGGAAAATGTGTGTAGCTCTAGCCTGGTTCCAGACCATAGACCCTGCCCACTCAACTGAGTAGGCTTGCATCTCTGGTCTGGCATACT